ACACACACACACAGACAACCTCTCGTCAATATGCGTTTTCTGCATCGCATAGCTGCAAAAAACGCACTAAAACGCAAAAATTAACGGCACAGAATTCCTGTCTCCTGCAGCTACCTTTCGCTTCCAGCTGATAGTCTCAGCATCCCTTTGAACGACTGTTCTAATTCTTTAATCCATGTTATTTTTTGCAGGGAGGAGAATCGTGCAGTGTTTTGGAATGTCGTTGCGAATCATCGCCAGTACTTCCCGAATATGTTCGCAATTGCGTATGATGGCGCCCATCAGATGTACACTCCGAATTCTATCGACTTTCCAGAGGGTCGCCCTTCGGTATGTCCTCTTTTATCTTGCTCTATGAAAAAAATCCGTTCTGAAGTATGTCAGTGTATTGGTGCAGTGATGATTTCCTCTCTTTCTGTCTGCAAACTGTTCCAAGAAGAATGAACACTGTCATTTTTGCGTTGCTTTTGCTTGCTCATTCTAGAACCTGAACAGGCAGGGCTAAACGCGTGAGTAAGCAATGATCCAAATGAGAAATCGACATGGGAATTTTTTACCAGCCACTACTTTTACCAGCTACATCTGTTTTAGTGGTAAAAAGCACTATTCTTAAGGTCGAGCTAGTAGTTCCACTCCTCCAGTAAAAAAACAGTGCTATAGACAGTAAGCTGGGTAGGAAACTGGGTCTGCCGCCAGCTTGTTGCTAAAGGGCTCTCAAAAACGAGAGCTATGAAAATTCATCAAAATGGTTGCAGATCCGTTTGGAAAGTGATGTATCGCTGGCGAAAGATTCTCGCGAGCGTACACGCTGTGCGGTCTCGCTGCAACGTGTCGGCCCAGTGGTCGTCGAAATGCAGCGCACACGTACGATCAACCTGGATGAGCGAGTTCTCACACCAATTCAGATCATTGATATTCTTTTCCGTCAGTCGCTTACGTGCCCATACATACAGTACGTTAGCACTTCCCACATCTGAGTTTGTTCGGGAGTTACCATAATCTATGCGAAATAATCTACCTTTTCGCCTTGAAACACCACAAAATTGCTTGCGTACTACTATGTATTCGCACTA